GGGGGGGAGTGTTGTGGTTAAGAGCTGCTTGGACATACATGTGCAATATTCTTGAATCTACCTGTCTTTTCTATTTGTTGATCCATATGACTACTTTTCTTGATTTTAAAGTGAAGTAATATTGTAACCACTTAATGAGAACAAAACAATCTGTTCATGCTCTGGCATCATCTCTGTCACTAGCTCTAGCTCCAGCAGGAGCCCTGATCTAATTTTCCCAAAAAATGTGTAACCAGTTGTACTGACTTTAAAAAAGTGGATTCTTTATTTCTAGTCTGCAGCCATTTTAACGTTTGGTTTTGAAAGCACAGCAGCATTTCTTATTAAAAAGTATTGATTGAAATAAGTACCATGATGTGATTGAGAATAACCATGTGGATGTTCCTGCTGTGGTATTTATTTACTATGGAGACAAAAATAAAATGAGCTCTAAAAAAAGTGTTGTCCTATGTTGAGGCGCGCTGGGTGTGACCGCCCTTCCAAGGTTACAGCTGCTGTGCAAGGGGAGTCCCCACGCCAGCGAAGGCTCAGCCCTGCTCCTCCCCAGGGAGGGGCAGCCTGCTCCCAGCCCTGCAGCCTGCCTCTACCTTGAAAAGGAGGCATTGAAGCACAAACTTACCAGAGCCACGGTTTCACAAACTATTAAATTAAATTAAATTTTAACTAGCAAAACAGGTGTGGTTTTCCCTGGTTGTGTAGCTTTAAAACATCATTTGAGCTAGTAACAAGGCAAATGCTCATGTCAGCCTCTGAAGTAACATTGCAAAGTACCGTATTTAATTTTAGTTCTTAACATCAGGGCATCACTGAAAGAGCCTCTGGGGAGAGCTAAAGGCCACACTGCTGTGGGCACCCAAGGAGAGAAGATTATTCAGGACAAGGAGAACACTTGCTCAGAAACTCAAACATTACCACACATGTGATTCAAGGATTTATTAAGTCATACATGCAAAACATACTGCTAATTGCATTAGCAAAAGATCAATGTAAAAACTTCACAATTTTGCAACTTTTATTTTTAAATTTTGCTTTAGTGGTTGAAAGGGTGTAGTTCAACATTGTATTTCCTGCCAGTTTAGAATGTACAGAACATTAGCACTAATTTACAGAACCTCACAGACCCAAGTTACCATTACTCAATCTAGGCTGCACATGTACATGGAGTGACATAAAGAACACTTGTCTGCATTAGTCATGTTACAGTGGTGGGGATATTGGCAGTGACAGTTGAGAAGGTTCATAGTTTATAGAGGTTTAAAATATAAAAATTACTAAAATGTGTAAAGCTGCTTCACATGATTTTTACACCTAGTTAATGGACTAAAAGCTCCTCAGAAAGCATAACTTACTGGGTCAGAAAAAACAGGAAAATAAGGAGGATATGCTTGAACATTCTACTCTACCAAAAAAAAAAAAAGCAAATTTTATAATCAGAAAGGGTTTAAAATACAAGTTATATTGCTCAGTAAAAAGATTCTACAAGAAAAAGCATTTACTACACAACAGTTGTGGGAATGACTGTTCAGAATTGTACCTAAATGAATGCCCTACCTGAAATCCAACAGAATTTACCTGTGAACACCAACCTCTTCACTACTGCACCTCAGGGAAAATGGTGGCTGAGTTTAACCTGCACTAAAAGTCAATTCAGTTTCTACTACCCTGGCAGTGTAGTGCAAGTCATCTGTACAGTGTCAAAATACTGTCTGGCACCAGCATCTGATCCAACCCACTCTTCATTTCTCCATCACAATACAATGCTGTCAAAAGGACTAGATACACTTCAGTAAGAATAGTTATTTATTTATTTTTTTTAAATCACAGCAGCAAGAACTAGATTGCAACCAAGCCCTTACCAATGATAAAGCATTTTACACTGTGACTTGAGGGTGTCAGTCATTGTCAAAGATTTAGGTTCGATACACAACGCTATGCAATGACTGGGTTGAGAAAACATTTAATAATAAAACACATCAGAGTGCAGTGTTTTGCTAATTATACGGTACTGTTACTTACTGTGAAAAACTAGAAAGTGTTTTTGCATTTCCTACCAGAAATTAGAGTCATCTTCAAGAAGAATCTTTAAAAAACAGTTTAGTGCTTAGTGTTCATAGCACAACAATGCAACTTAGTTCAGCAGATAGTTTGGCAACACTTAAATGAGCAAGAATAGGATTTTAAAAATAAGGCTTTACATAGGTTTGTCTTTTCAGGAGTTCGCTTTTAGAAGAATGCAAGTTAACTTTCATACTTTAAACAAATGAAACCATGAAATTGTTGATTGGTTCAAGACTTTATGGAAGAGAACTAATTTATAACAGAAAAACTTGGCATTGAATGTGAATGCTCCATTGTTCTGAGCAAAGCACAGGGTTTGGACTGGGGTGGGGGAGGGTAACGTTTACAGCAGCAGACATTTTCTCTTCCTCTTCTTTACAGGAGGGGGGCACAGAACTGCTCGGATAGCTTCATCAAACACTGTCTTGAGGCCTCGCTGCGTAAGTGCTGAGCATTCTAGGTATTTCACTGCACCTGTGGAGAGCAAAAAGGCAATTACAAAGTTTTCCACAATGGGAGAAGCACTGCTTGTAGCCACCTCCACCACAGAGGCCAGGCATTTCCTTTAATTAAGGTACATCCTCCACAAACAAAATTCAGATCGAGCCAACAGTAACCCCGCTGCCGTCATACCAATCTCTTTTGCCATGGCAAGGCCCTGTGGGTAGGTGATGGGAGTCAGCTTCTTCTCCTTCAGTTTTTCAATAGTGTCCTTATCATCCCGGAGATCGAGTTTGGTGCCCACTAAGATGATGGGGGTGTTGGGGCAGTGGTGCCGCACCTCAGGATACCACTGCAAAACAACAGCACAGGTTGTGTAGTGGGGACGTTTCCACAAAGGCTCTCAAGCGTCCGATTAAAAGGCTGGTGACACTTTCAAGAGTCAAGGAGTAAAGGGGAGAACACAAGGCCCCATGAAGGCAGTATTAGAAAAGAGCTTACAGCTGGCTTCATTAAAAATTCTGCAAGAGGTATTTCTGTATACTTAAAAAGTGTACCCTGTTAAGGGCTGTACTTTCTCCACACACCAGAAAACTGCTGATCTGCATTTCCCTCACCCACGAGACCACCTCTTACTTGCAAGGTCTCCACAGTACTGTACAGCTCAGCTGTCAAGGGCACAAGAGGCTGCAAGGGCAACACAGCATATGCTCACTGCTGCCTGGTGCTAGAAGCAAATATCAACCTGATGTTTACACAAATTTGTGCTTTAATTTTTGCTTTTAAGTTGCATTAAAAGGGAAATTCCTGTTTGGGATCTTGGCATGTTGTTGGCTGAAAAGTACTGTTATTGTATCAATGTATCAAGGAATGACTCATACTTGAAAGTATTTGATGTGCCCTGAACTTGCATGACTTAAAAGTTACACAAACACGCTCCTGCCTTTTCAAACTACATTTCACATCACCTGCCAAAACCAAAATTTAAAAGAAAAAAATAATCACCTAATATTTTCCAGACACTTGCTGTAAAGTGAACACTAAGCTGAACGCTTAGAAACAAAGTGATACCAGCTTGTACTTACCTTAGCACGGACATTTTCAAAGGAAGCAGGACTCACAAGGGAAAAGCAGATTAAGAAGACATCCTGCAAAACAGGTGAATTGAAGTTAGGCCAGCAGAGCAACCTTCACGAACTCTCCTCACCCTGAAAAGGCCAATGTCACAGCACCTCTACTGCACTTGCAAAAGGCAAGGTCAAGGATACAACTGCACAGGACCATTAGGGGTAGCTCTCCCAGAGGGAAATCCCTTCCCAGGCAGCTACAAGCAGACACAAAGGGTGGGGGGAACCAACAGATAGACTGTAATCAAGTTTAAAATCAGCTATTGCAGTAGCCAGCAACTAAAACGCTAATACCATTGCACTGCAAGCTTTTTTCCCAAAATGTCATCTCCCTCACCGATGTTCAAAAAAACCCACCAAAACCGAACACTGCAGATCCTTGACAAACCCAGGAAGCAGTGACAAGTTGTTAGACTGGCCTCTAACCTGAGGCTGGATACTCTTTGCAAACTTTTTAAGTGATCTAAGCCCCAAAAGATGTGCAACTCATCAGTATAGGGTGTTTCAAAGTGTTACCATTGGCCTCAGTTTTTAAAATACGAATACAGCACTAATAAATGTAGAGCAGTATATTAGTCTTAAATGGCAAAGTACTCAGTATGGAATTTTTAAAAATCATAAAATGATAGTTTTTACAATTATTACTTTCATGCCCAAATCAGAAAAATCCTGTAGAAGTGTCAGTTCTACTGAATATCAGTATGCAAAGACTTCAGAATCTCTATAACCAAATTAGAATTGAGAAGGGTATTAAAAACCACAAAGTTCCTTCTCTTTCTAAATAATAAGGAAGCAGAGAGAAAAGTGGGTGTTTTCAGGGATCTTACACATCTCACTTTTCAGTTGAAGGCAGAAGGAAGATTGTAAGTAAACACAGGTAAAAACATTTTAGAGCACATGTTTACACTAACTGCTGTACAGTCAAAAACCAGTGAGCTTCATACACGACACACTGTAGTCTACAAGCATTCAGAATAATTTTCTCCATCGAAGCTGAAGATGACTAATCTTGTTGTATGACCCAAAACTCCATAAGCATCTCTCACACAAGCCCATCTTCCCCCAACCTACCTCTTG